AAATAAACATTTGAAATATATGAGTTTGTATGTAATGTATGAATATAATATACAAGTTTCACTTTTTAAATGGAATTACTGAAATAAATCTACTTTTTCATGATATTCTAATTTTATGACCAGCACCTGTACATACAGTATGAGACATTTTAGAACCTATGAACATTATATTTAGGCTAAAAATCCTATTTATGTGCCTCTATCAAATATTTGTTTCTCTCTCTCTGTGCACAGGAGAAAAACTCCTTCTTGAACTACAATGTGTCCTGCATCCTCACCATGCCACAGTACATGAGGCAGGGTTATGGCAAGATGCTCATCGACTTCAGTCAGTACACACACTCATCACGCTCTCACCGCTCAATACTGCAGTGTGTTGAGAAAAGATCAATAAGAACAAAATAGCTGTTTATGCTGTCCGACCAGGCTACCTGCTGTCCAAGGTGGAGGAAAAGGTGGGCTCTCCTGAGCGACCCCTGTCTGATCTGGGACTAATCAGCTACAGAAGTTACTGGAAAGATGTTCTGCTGCGCTACCTGAACAATTTTCAGGGCAAGGAGATCTCCATCAAAGGTCAGGATCGAGTTACACTTGCCAAAATACACGAGAAACACACCCAAACCACATCAAGATTTTTTAACTATGCTGCTTAAAAAAATTTTTACAACATAAAATGTTTCAAATGTTTTACCAGTATTGCATTTTTTTAAAGGAAATTTCATTTTAGGCAGGATTTATTGTTGTGCATTTCATGTACAGTTCTCACTGTTGCCCAACTTTAATGGGGAACCTCCAAACTCATAAACTAAGCAGGATTGAGCTGATGCATTGCAGCGTATCTGCCAGCAGTCCTGAAAGGCAAGAATCAGTTTACAGCAGAGACTGGGATGGGAATACAGTTTAATACAGTATTTCCAGCCACAATAACAAAGAAGAGCTTTCTTTTTTTTTTCTTTTTTTTTTACTTAATGTTTATCGAAACATTTTTTTTTTCAAACACATACAATACACAGAACAAAAACAGACTGTCGACAAGAGGAATTACTCACATTATAACTAAGTTGAATAGTTACAGGATGAAACAGCAAACAGAATTACATTCCTTTTTTTGAGCAGCATTTAAAATAACAAGGAAAGAGAAACCTGGTTCAGATATTGCTCTCTAAAGATCTAGTCCATTTGCTCCATCTCTTTTTATAAAGGTCCGGTTGCAGTCTCAGCATGAACGTTAACTTTTCCATTTTGTGGGTCTCTTCTACCAATTCCAGCCAGTCCTTTAACGTTGGTGGGTCAGGTTGAAGCCAATTCCGAGTAATCAGTTTTTTGGCTGTGGCACTGAAGATTTTTAATAAATATTTGTCATTCACATTCAGACCTTCAGGAACAGCTCCGAGTAGCAATAACATGGTGGGTCGTTGGAGTTTAAGATCCAAAATTGACTCAATCTTCCCCAGAACATCCTTCCAATAAGTCTTTATCTTAATGCAGGACCAAAAAATATGGGAGTGATTTGCCTCTGTGTCCCCACATTCCCTCCAGCAAGGCTACTGCTTTGGTGTTCTGAAAAAACATATCAAATTTTTCCATCTGAATTCACGCCATTGGTTTGAAGAGGAGGTTGTAGCAGCGGATTCACACATATTGTCCCACTGCTCTTGTGATATTTCAGTATTCAACTCTTTTTCCCATCTTTTCCTAACATAGTCTGTTGACTTTCCTTGGGATCTCAACAATCCCTGATAAAGTTTGGAAATAGTGATTTTTCGAGGTTTGGAGTAGGCTTGTGAAACCAATTGAATGATCTCGTTAGAGTCTAAGATACAAGCTTTCAGTATGTTTGAAAAAATATGTTGTCTAAGTTGCAAGTACTGTATCTAAAGAAATCCCCTTTTTCTAAATCATGTTTTTTTGTAGTGTTTGAAAGCTTGGTAGAGTATTTTTGTCCAGTATCCTGCAATATGCAGTTATTCCTTTCTGTGACCAGTTTTTAAAACTGGAGTCTAATTGGTTGGGGATGAAGTCTGAGTCAAAGGCGGCCATCAGAGAACTCGTATCTGGTTACCCAAGTTAAGTTCCCTCACCACTTCAAACCAGGTCGAAAGGGTAAATGACACTAGGGGATCTAATTTTTTTTGACATGCTGCTGCAAGTTTCTGATCCCCAATCAAAGCTTGTATTGGGATGTTTCCACATTTGTTTTCTAATTCTTTCCATCCAGCCTCGTAAGTATAGTCACACCACTGTACCACTGTTTTGAGTTGAGCTGCGAGGTAATAATCATGAAGATTTGGGAGTGACAGACCCCCTTTTTATTTCCTAATTGTTAGAGTACTATTTTTAATTCTGGGTTTTTGTCCCTTCCGAATAAAAAGAGATATCAATTTGTCCCACTCGCAAAACTGAGAATGAGGGATTTTGATAGGCAAGGAGATAAATAGGTACAATAGCCTGGGAAGTACTGACATCTTAATGACCTCAATTCTTGAATTAAAGTCAATTATACATTCAGACCACTGTGTAAGGTCTTGTTTAATTCTAGTATTCACAATTTCATAGGTTTTTTTTTGTACAGGTCTTTCGGAAGGTAAGTCAACCATACACCCAAGTATTTGATTGCTTTTTTAGACCAGTCAATAGGGACTTTCTCTTTGATCTCTACCGATGGGTAATAGTTAAAACTCATAATTTGTGTTTTATCCATATTTAGTCTGTATCCTGAGTAGGTGCCAAATGTATCTAGTAACTTTAAGGTGGCTAGGATGGATTGCTCCGGACTCGAGAGGTATAGAAGGATATCATCAGCATATAGTGCTATTTTATGTTCTCTTGGATTTATTACTATACCATGGATATCACTGCTCTCTCTAATTGCCTGGGCAAGAGGCTCTATGTAAAGTGCAAAAAGAATTGGGGAGAGCGGGCATCCTTGTCGAGTGGATCTCTCCAGCTCTATTCTGTCTGTCAAGCGGCCATTTATCTTGATCCTAGCTGTGGGTGATGCATATAATGTTTTAATACTATTGATTGCGGAATGAGAAAAACCAAATTGTTCCAAAACCAAGAATATCCATCCATCCATCCATCCATCCATTTTCTTCTGCCTATCCGGGGTCGGGTCGCGGGGGCAGCAGCTTCAGAAGGGAGGCCCAG